TCGTCAGATAGTGTAAAGCAACCTTTAGATGTTTAGGTATTTTGAAAGTTTGACATTCCAGCTGTCCGAAATAATGACAATAAAGCATAGACTACATTAAAATTTTTGACATGACAGAAAAGTGATGTTTGAAATTTTTTGTCGGAAACTGTAGATAATAAGAATAACAGTGTGAGAAATTAAATGACAGTCTATAAATGTGTTTTGACCCCTATACATTTTTTTGTGCTGTACTTTAATAGTCCATACATATCTTTTTTTTTTCGAAGAAGCTGTATTTGTTTGAATGTACCTTATTTCACGGACATGGAAAGTTCTGTCTAAATACCAATTTTTTGAGATTATTTCAGCAACTTTTTAGAAGGGAAATAAATCAGGTATTGTAATCACTAAATCCGTGTCTCACTAAAATTTCGAATTTTTGCTTTTTTACGGATAAAGCGTACTGGAACTATAAATTCTACCACTAATATACTCTGGCATTAACAATCTCACATACATATCTCATAAATATACCTACGATTACATTAGTTATTTATCAGTTCTCTTTTTCTGTAGTTACTAGAACTCGGTGTTTTAGATTTAGATAATACCATTTGAGTCCGAACTCGAAACTTTTTTCTTTTGCCAACAATAATTATTTCTTTATGTTAGGTAGTTTTCGTCCAACGCCCATTAAACATACGATAACGTTAATTACTTTCGGTCACTTTTTATTCAAATGAAATAAAGTAAGATAGTCACATATTTATCGTAACATAGCGTTTAACGTAAAGTAGTATGGCTACTCTACTTTCATCATAGCTATATTTCTAATGATTGTGTATAATCTAATCAGCTGAAAATAAAATTCTTCCTATAGCACTTTTTTTGCACTGCATACACAAAACAGAAAAAAACATACAGTTATTCGTAACCTTTATTAGAGTTATCTGTTATCTCTCCATGTCTGAAACCGACAATCCAATACTGATTCGCTCAATTTACGAACTTAATTTTTTAAACTCTTGTTTATCCATCTACACTCGCAGTAAACCACTGACACGTTTAAATCTTAGCCATCGATTAGTTAAAAGTAAAGCTTATAGTCAGTAATTATTTACGAACTCATTAATTTACATCCGGCAAAATGCCACGAACAGGTCGCCTATTTCCCAAACGTGCTACAGTCCATGAAAAATAACCGTATGAAATGGATGATCATTTTTGGTGCAATTAAATCTCCATGCAGCAATCAGTATAAACGGAAAAAATTCTCGCAAACGTAAATTTAAGCCAATTAATTTTTTTTTAAGTTCTAAATCCAATCAACCTCTACACACACACGCACACAAAAAAGTGTTGGCGAACGGATCCACATGATGGGTGCTTTCAAAACGCGTAATAAAAAGCCAACGCGAGAGCTTTCACTTTAAACCCTGGCTGTGGGTGTTCGTGTCCTGGAGATAACGACAAATCAAATTACGTGACGTATTTTTATAAGTTCTCGCAAAATGGATGGAATCCTTGCTGCACAACAGGTGAAACCGACAGCCGTGAATAATTCTTGGTTTGGTGTGATCGTAAAAGTTGGAGTATTAATAAAAGATCAAAAGGTGGAAATAATAGATAGACGTTTTATGCAGAATGAAAAAAGTTCACAATCCACCTTGAGACATGATAAGAAAAACAGGCTTGTGAAATACGAACAAGGGTGAGTATGGCAAATATTCATGACTTGTTAATTTTCCTTATAGTGGTGTCCAATCTCTACGTTAATATTAATTCCAGTTTGTGTCACATGAATAATGTAGAATTAATATTTCATTCCTAGTGTTATCGTATTTCAGTTACTAAAAATTGCTTGGGAAAGCTATGAATATAAAAGCAACTTCAGTTGCATAAATCTATCCTACGTTTGCAGCATACGTCTAGACCTTGCATCTACTTAGTTATTTTAAATATTAAGTAGCATTGGCAACATTGTCGTGTGTCACATGGTCTCATGTATGTGTAACATGAACAGTCAAAACAGAAACAGCAGACCCAAAACTTTAGTCACATTAAAGTTTTAATTGTGAAAAACGACTGTTTATCGCGAGTATCTAACAAACACGGTTGGCGGTAATATCAGCAAAATTAACGGAAAGCTTCTCCACGAACCAGTCGCGAATTGAAATTTAAAAATATCCTGTCGATATAGTTGTTTACCACAAATTACAAATTTGTGGAGCAAAGAACATAACAACAGCTACCAGTGTGTGATTATGAATTTGTACCTTCCGTTTTCCTTTATTTATTATTCTGTCCTACTTTGTTTTAATTATTTCTAAAGAACATAATAATATAAAAAAGCAACTATTTAAATGCAATTAGAAGTTCGAATCTCTAGTAAATTTTAGATGTTTTTTGTTGATTTACCGTTATAAACAACTTATTTTATCTTCATGAATCTCTTAGGATAATTGTACATCAACCCTCTTCACAGAATATTAGGTAAGTCCTAAACAATCCAAGGACGTCATAAATCTGTAAATTGTTTGCGTATTTTCACCCGTGAAGAATAAATTAACAATGAATTAATGCTGAGTGCTTCAACAGCCCAATGAATAGTTTGGTCAATATTCACTCTGTCAAAACAGGAACCATATTTTCATTTTTAAAATATTTAGTTATATTATTTCTATGCAAATTTATCGAAATTCACATACATATTAGGAGTACAATTTAATAGTGTTAAATCATTACTAAATCTCATTTGCTGCCCCCTTCAAATTGGATATTGTGCGTGTATTCAGATCACTGATTTCGCGCACACATGAAACATTCGCTGGAGCAAATAATATCGTATAACATTAGACATGTGAATCAATAAATATTTACAGTGCACATTAAATGGTGCAGAAAGTTATCCACATACGAGTATATATGATGCTAATTTATTAAATGTGGTTCTTACTTACTTGATATGTAGTTAAAATTATTTCTGAGGCTTTAGTAAAAACATGCTTAAGGTAATGAAAATTACACACAGAAATGTAATGTGGAAGGAAATGCAGAAACCTAAAAAAACTAGCGCAGCTAACTCCGTACAAACTCTAATCCGCATCTGAATCGATAATCTTAATGAAAACTATTTCGAGCTGGTGGCTGACATTAACACAAAAAAGAACGTCTAAAAAATACGAAAACCGTCTTATCTTCGGATGTTTCGGAGCCAGGATATCCTGTAAGCTCCTGTTTCACCACAACTCCTCGAACATCATTTTTCTCCTCATTTCACATTAATTCCCGCTGATCTTCTAATTATTCGAAATATTCGTCTTAATAAACGTAACGATTAATTTTGAACAGCTTTTTAAACACTTCAAACGAATACGCACAATGATGAAAAGCTGCCGGCAGTAATTTAGAAAAAAGAGGTCAGATAGTCGATAATTGAACCACTTGAAATCTATATTCGAAGCCGAAATTTTGCAAATGTTGACGGTTAAGTTACATTCGAGTTAGAAAAAAGAATATATGATGTACATGTGACAAAAAATAAACATAAAAAGTAAAAATATTCACACTAATTGCTTGTTTGGAAAATTAACTTGTTGTACTTTATTCAACAGGGAATCACTACCATCATTTTAAGTGCGTTCGATATGTGTCATGGCGCAATGAATAATGAAATGACTAATGACATAATTCGTGATTGCAGTTGCAGAATAGAATAATGTCATGATACAGTCAATATCGTAATTGGTTGTTACAATGCAGAAGCTTTTGAACAAAAAAAAAAGCACAAAAAGGATACCAGTAGCGTTACTAAAAATGTAAAATTATCGCCGAATGTCGATTCTACCTGCACTGTCAAAAAAACAATCGACAAAAGTTTCATTTATGTAAGCAGTAAATTAAAATATTTACGCAGGATTTGAGGGTGGAGTTAGTTTGGATAATACTGCAGACTCGGTTTCCTCTCACACCGACTCAAATTTAAGCAGCTTATAAAAGAGGAAAAACAGTGAATACGAAAAGCACTGCCGAGCTTCGCACACCGACATAAACCGGAACGAAATTTGAACAAAAATTACATAGAACGGCGGTTACCATAATTTTTTTATTAATTTTCGGAAATGATATTTCGTTGGGAAAATCGAAGAACTCACTTTTTTTGTATTTTTCATCAATCGTTTTTCAAACCTTTTTTATGAGTTGATATGTTAGGTATAATCGTCTCAGATTCATCCCAAAATATAGAAGGTGTTTCATAAATTTAATCACCTATTGTATATAAGATATGAAGTGAAAAATTTACAAAAACTGATTTAGGAACATCATATCGTTGTCGTAGTGGCATATTTCTTCCAGTTCCATCTTTTCTCCTTTTGATATCGAAACCATAAGAAATAAAGGTAGGCTAAATTAGAAAAAACATTTTACAAAAACTAAAAATTTCTTTAGTTTTATTGCGCTAGTTTGAGATTTTATAAAAATTTCTAAGTAATTTCAGAAATTTCCAGACTGTTAAATTAATTCTTGTGAACATTACATTATCCCACATCATATTTTATTATGTAGATGGTTTTTCTCGTCTATTAAAATTTATAGAATAAAAGGATGCAAAACCTTTATACCAGTTAATGTTTATATGAAACATGTAACATAAACAACAAACAAACTTGTGAATGTTAACTTATAGCAACAGTGAATAAAGGACAAGATTTTTTCGAGTTTAACTAACTTGAAACATAGAAGTCTATTATATTTTTCAAAATTATTTTTTATTTCCGTTGTTGCCAAATTGAACGAAATAAATTAATACGCGAAACTTTTGCAAGTGTTTCGCTGCAAAAGCAAATAATTATACCCATTTATGGTAAAAGGTATTCAAGATTTTACAGTAAACGCACTTTTTATCACACTTCATCCAAGTGTGAAATTTATATTCCACGCGACTTGTTACACAAGCAATAAATAATTTCATGCGAAACAATTGTAGGAAAAATAGAATAAATTAAAAAAAAACTTACTTTTGTTCATCTTTGGTGTGCGCTATGAACCTCGCACATTCCCTCTTGTGGAAGGTTGCTTCGATCCAACTCCGCGCAGGAGCCTGTAAAACAAGGTATTAAATAACTATAAACTATACAAGATATAAACTTTAGTGCAAAGATTAAGTTTTTTATAATAGAACTTTATGTTGAGTGTGCCGCTAATTGTGTGTTCTGGGGTAAGCACTTCCTAAAACAAAAAGGATCAAACAATTTATAGGTGCAAAATATGTACTAAAAAAATCCATTTCCTGAGACACGAGACCAGGACTATTATTAAATCAGATTTTCGTATTTATTTAATACAATTAGCTTGTAAGCAAATTTACCTATACCAATATTTTATTTACAGCTTCAGATTTTGGGGTACCTATAATACGGTAATCGGGTTCAATAATATAATTTTTATGCATTAAAGTTTCAACTGCTTTGATGATTTTTTTATTACCTACGCAAAAAGTGATTTAGACCTTTTAGTAAAAATTCACATTGTGCACATTAGGTGAGACATGGTTTGAGTTTAACTCAACAAATTCTCGCTAAAAAATCTCGTTTGTGAAAAATTCACGCATATCTATAATTTGACTTCACTAAGCCAATATTTTAGAATCGTGTCAAAAATAAGTTTGTCAGAATGTTTTAAACCGAATAGAAGGAAAACTTAGAAATCTTACTAATGAAAAGCATTTATCTACACTAAGTAGGAATTATGTGCAGTGACAAAGGGTAAATTTAAAACTACCTTGTTTCCTAATCTACAATCTACAGTTTAGTAAGCCCTAAATTTTTGACACAACTTCAAAATTAATAATTTAATAACATAATCTCGCAAGGTATACATTAATTTTTTTATAAATAACACGATTTCTCGATGTTTACAAATATAATTTCTAATCTAAAGTTAAAAAGTAACCAAAATAATGTAACAATAAAAAAGTACAAATAATGACAATAATACACAACCAGTACCCACCATGAATTCGCAACAAAAAAATATCTGATAGATAAAAAACTTTCAGATTCGAACTCACCAGTGTCCAAAATCATCAAAATATAAAAAACAATTTCTAAATAGTAAAAACTTTGTTCTCAGCGTTACCAAACTGTCACAGAAGTACTTGATAAACATCATTTTGTGATAACAAACGTCATATTTGTTGCGAGATTATGCCACATTTTTCTAATAATAAATTATAGTGTGAGTTATCCACTTCACCCATTTCATGGCGGTCCCTGTGTTCAAATTTAGTTAAATCGTAGTGTTGCGTGCTTGTCACATATTCGCTTCATTATTAATTATACGATATGTTAATTAGTAAAAATAAAACTTAATAATTTCTATAAGAAATTAGTGTCAACAAATTCACAACACAACAGTAAGCTTGGTGCTGAAAACAAGTAAAGTGAAATTTTTAGTTATTTGAACAAAAATAAATAATTGCTTAGTTACAATCATTTACTTTAACGATTATTATTTTTCTAAAAAGCAAATATTACAATATAGAACTAAAATATAATAATAATATTTATTTAAAACATTCGCTGGAAATATCACGACTACCATGCAATGTTAGAAATACAATTTTGGTATACAGACCATAAAAGCGTTATTGTATCGGTTCCCGATAGAGCGATACATATAAACTTACTGGGGAAAATGGGCTTGCCACTGGCCATAAAAAGGTTGATAAAGAACTCACTAACGAGTCTAATATTCCGCGTCGATGCTGTAAATAATTATAGAAAAATAGTTAGAGCCACTACAAGAAATTTGACTATGTTATTGCTGGTTAAAAAAGTTAGAAATAAAGTCAACACGAACCTTTGCGTGAACTTTCCTGTTGTAACCTTTAAGAAGCTGTCATTTGTTTTATCGTTAAAACATCAGTTATTAAAAGTGAGTTATAATTTTCTGAATTCAGTACACAGAGTTTAAGGATTAGTTGGGTAACGAGATTACGTGAAATACTGTTGATAAGGTGTTACGATGATCCTTCGGTCAGGGTTAAATAAGGGAGGACTTTCGAGGACACCATACGTTTCGGATCCACAGTTTGCCAAAGTTTCTATCAAAACCCGAACAAAACCCTTTATCGTTATTGTTAAATCTTCCACTGTGTAACCTGCTTTGTAACGACTCTAATTACATTAACAATGTTTTAATCTTTATCATGTCTACGTAAATATTTACTCAAAAATACAACAACAGGTTTTCATTTGCGTATAAAATGATCAATTTGTGTGAATCCGACTGTAATTGAACCGCCTAAGGAGTAAATTTCTCATTTAGTAATTGAATTTAAATTAATATACATTTGTCGAAAACAGATTATCCTTTGAAGCACTTATTGTACATGCTAACGTTTCTTTGATAAAGTAAATCTGGCAGATAAATTTAGAAAAAAACGAACCGAGCAGAAGTGCAGTATGTGGTGCATTTAAAATCATCTATATAAGAATATGTAAAAAATCTAGTCAATCACGTCAAAAATCATCTGGTGACACTCTAAAAAGTTTTATTAGTTTGATAATGATCCTTACATTATATAACATTCGGAATTACAACAAAAAATACTTTTTACTGTTATTAAAAAAAAATCAGCGGTGGAGATATCTGTGGATGAAATTTATTCACACAAGTAGATATTATATTCACAGCAAGATGCACACAAACAGTGCTGTTATAGAATATAATTAATATATAGTTAGCCGCATCAATTCCACTCTAAGGCCAGTCTTGAACAATCTAAACCAAACTGGATTGTTCAAAGATTTACCTTAGATTGTAAACAACATTATTAGTCGTGCATATATTTTGTGCAAGGCGAGAGCTCCATTCTGTCCATTAGGCAATAATCGGTTATCCATAATTGCTGTGACCTATTAATTCGTTTTAGTTTTTGTACATAGAAAACAAAAATTACATTATCAAACGATCAGACTGATTTTTATCACTAGCATTATCCATGGAACAATTTTAATCAACCCTTGAATGGGTTAAGATACGAAAAAACATTTTTTGTATCACATCTAGTTAAGCTAATGCAATAACTTATTGATTTATACAGGATATCCAAAACATGGAATAAATTCGATAGACAATTGACGAATGAACTTAGCACAAAAACTGGGCCAGGTTGAACAATCCACATGTTACTCGTAAATTTCAAAATTTTGATAAAATTCTGGCATCATTAAAAGTTTTTTAAATAACAAACTTATTCATATCAATATTAAGAAGACAAAAAATACCAAAATTGTAAATAGTCAAATATAATAAGAACAAAAAATATGAAAAAATTATCCTAAGAAACTTAGAAATGATATTTTAGAAAACAGTTGTCCGAGATTCGAAAATGGCCTGTTTGGCGGAAAGACGGTTTGCGAAATAAAAATATAAAACTACAGGAGTACATATATTCAAAATTGTAAGATCCTGGTTCTCATGGTTCTTTGATGTCCATAAAAGATTAGGCGTCAAGTGGTTTTCTGTAGGCAGCTGCTGAAACAAAACCAGTTCACATATTTTACCGTATGGAAACAAGTGCGGTAAAAATTCCTATGAATATGTTAATGGTAAAAGAAAATTTTACTAATGCAAAATTTAAAAACTATGTTGCATTGCTTTCGAACTTCGCTAAATGAAATGTCTAAAATTACTAAGGCTGTAGATATCTCAGGCGAACAAACAGCATATCTTAATTAAAAATTTACTACATGCAAAAGATGTTTGAAGAGTACGTTTTTATGTTTTGATGAGATCCATCGATGAGGTTTGAGTCAACTAGAATAGACTAAAGATGAATTTGAAGGATTATCTACATCTGAAGTAAATACAAGTAGTTTTGTTGCAGAAAGAGGTACTACTTCAATTTGTTATCATTCTAGGAAGTTATTGTATGACTAGTTTCTAGGGTTTAAGTAAAAACAAAGAAGTAACAAATTCTAAATTCTTAAATTAAGTAGATATATAAAAATTAAATAAGATCTATTAAAGGAAAAAAAAAAGTAGTTTTGCAGCAAAATACATGCACATAAGTACCACCGAACTGTTGAACTAAATTCATTTAAAACGCTTAATTTTAAAAACTTGAAAAACTGGATTAACAACGTTAGATATGAACAGAAAAAATTATAAAAATAGAAAAATCCTCCAATATCTGATTTAATTTAACAAATAGACACTCAATCAAAACGAGACATTTAATTATAAACTATTGCACTTTTGGTTTATAAACTGTCAGAGGTGAATTTAGCCCCTTTGGGTTTTTATTGTTCGTAATTTATTTATCTGTCCATTCTTCAAGTATTCGGAAAAACTATGCGAATTGAAATTGTATTACAATTTAAACCAGTGCACAGTGCACTTGAAGACATAGGAAAATAATTCAAAGATTAAAAGACCGACATTTTGAACATATTCTTTAAATAAACTTAGCTTGACTTAAAGTTTATTTTCTTTTTTCGACTTAGTCGGTAGGCTCGTTGTTTATCAAAATGGTGGATTCGCAAAAACCTATTTTGGGGTTAGCATGTCAGTTGAAATCAATAATACCAACTGCAGCGTGTCAGAAGCAGCCGTCTATCAATTAAAATGTTTTCTCGACTGCACGGTATAATACAATATATGTACTTACGTGCTACAACTACAACTAAATCTACTACATATCTACTACTACTAATTTTCGACAACTTTACAAATTTCATCTTTATTGCCGCTAGTGGTATGAAAAGTTTTCATCAGAGAATTTTAAAACTTTTCAGAAATATAAAATGTACGTGTCATTGTTTTGAAATGTGATATTGCTACTGAAAACGATTTTCGTTGAAAGGCAACACGACAAAGTATTCTATCAGCTGAAAATTGAAAGCAACTTATCTTTATCGTCCCTTGTCCGTAGCAAATAATATATTTGATCCTCAGTTCAATTTAAGCAAAAAATGGAATAAAATGAAAAGACGTATAGAAGTTCCCCAATATTGCCAAAAAATCTTACGCAATATACACGTCTGAATAACTCTACTTTTAACTTCCACTTGAAATCTAACCAACCAACTGCTGACACTAGATCCTAAATTTAATGTAAAGTTTAACCCAGAAATTAATTATTGGCGAGAGGATAAAAGCATAAAGATAATCTGTATTTTCAACAGTGACATTTTATTGTGTTTAATTTAAAATTCATTTTCATCCATCTCTACCGTATCTCTTAAATTCATTCCAAAGAGAAAAGTTTACCAATAAATTAAAAGTGATTTTTTTTCATTAATCACTCCGTTGTATGGAGATTACTTTACCCTCAGCTACACGTATTTTTTAATTAATTTTTAACGTAATTATACCAGACAAAGGCGTTCTTACGAAGAACGAGGACGTTGCGACCACTTACGCCAACACCTGAAAGCGTGCTATAGGTAAAGGGAACAATACGAATGCCCGTAAGTTGCGAAGTTTTTCATTAACCTAATAATTACATTTCCGCACATAGTCAGGCGCGGATCCAGGGGGGGGGCAATGGGTGCAATTGCCCCCCCCTGACACACGACCGAGGTACTTTATTTTGACCAATTTCAAAATTTTGAAATCATATTTCATTTTGTAAATACAGTACAACCTCTATAATCCAAACTCACGATTGTCTCAACATCCAGTAATCCGAACAGAGGCTATTTGAAGTCGATGCCTCTTTAATCCGAACAAAAACTCTGCAATCCGATCTGAACTTGATCTACTTCCAAAAATGATGCAAGATCTTTCTGCATATGTTGTATGGAATATTTTGAAATTTTTAAAAATTGCGATATTTCAAAGCACTGAATTAATTAACTAATTCTGGAAAAACGGATGAAGTTATCGGAGACCCGAAATCTACAAGAGAAAGTATTTCGTTAAATTTCGAAAATCGTTGAAAATGGGTCGAAATTTGCACGAGAAAAATTTCATTTTCGAAAAAATTTCCTAAACATTCTGAAAAAATTCAGAGATATATATCCCGACGTGCTGATTCCAAAAATATACCATGTTTATAGTAACGGAGCAATATTTTCGGAAAATTCGCTGTGAAATTCGAATTTTTCGAAATTTTTAAAAATTGCGATATTTCAACGATTCTGGAAAAATGGTTTAAGTTATCGAAGAAATGAAGCCAGAAGTGACTTCTGAGGTCCAAAATCTACAAGAAAATATATTTAGTTAAATTTCGAAAATCGTCGAGAATGGGTCGAAATTTGCATAATGGAGGTAATACGAATACATAACGGAAAATTTCATTTTTGAAAAATTCATCTAAAAATTCTGAAAATTTTCAGGGTATAGATCCCGGGGTGTTTATTCCAAAAGATAGCGTATTTATGGTCACGGAGTAATATTTTTTTAGAATGTATCTATTATCCATTGTTGCTTGTTCTTTAATTTTTGTTTAATAAAATTTAGGTTTATTTCTTGAAGTTTGTTTTCAGTTGTGTATGAAGTTGTTATTCAATTCCCTTTCAGATTTTTGGGAAAATGGCTGATCCGAACAAATCGTTAATCAGAACACAACTTTTTCCCATTTAATTAGGATTATCGAGGTTCTACTATACACTATACGTGTAATCAAAAGAACCAAATGTCACCCATGTTATGTGAAAAAAAGTATACTAGCTAAAATTTTATAATATTTTTTGTTTAGAACGAATTTCTGGTAGATAGGTAAAATTGCACAAAAATTGCCCCCCCCTGAACGAA